GGGAAGGGCAGTGTCCGGCAATGCGCCCGCCACGCTTGAGCCCCTGGGCGCCAGCCGGCCTCCTTTCCACCCTGGCGCCGCCTGCTTTCCGTGACAGGCCTTGGTGCAGGGGCGACCGCTTCCCTCAGCGCAGACGCCCCGCCCGCCTCCAGCAGCCCCGGCCCCCACTAACTTGGTGTTTTGCTTAGCTTATTGGTGCAGCGAGAACCAAGACGTACGTGCAGGAACACTCGGTCGTGGATCCTGTAGAGAAAACAATGGAACTGAAATCCACTAATGTGAGTGTTGCCTCCCGCTTACTTGGCCTCGACACTCGGCTGCTTGTTGGTCTGTTCCACGTGCAGACGCCCACGTGCTCTGGGTTCGGGGTCCCCGCCGGCTGGCACCGAGCCTCGGCTTCCGGGGCTGTGCCCCTTTCTAGGGCACACCGACAGTCAGTCTGGGTCGTCGCCCGCGAGGGTGATGTTGGGTTTTTGTCGAGTCTGCAGTGACCAGCGAAGCTCCCCGTGTGTAGTGTCCTGCCAGCGTGGCCCTCCGCGCTGCGTGTGGTCGCGCGTGTGTGGTTGCCAGGTTTGGTTTGTGGATCCTGGAGATGTCTTCATCTCGGTTTCCAAAGTGACTTGGCTGTTTCTCGCACACAGATTTCATTTACAAATATGGTTTCAGTAGACGAGAGACTGATATACAAACCACATCCTCAGGACCCAGAAAAGTGAGTAAAAAAAATCTTGCAAAATGATTTCTGTCTCGGGGTATTAGAATTTTCTTAATCTCTTTCTTTTTACGTGAGCGGGGGTGATTGTAAAGCTGTGCGGTTTTGTTCCAGAACTGTCTTGACCCAGGAAGCCATCATCACTGTGAAGGGAGTCAGCCTGAGCAGCTACCTCGAGGGCCTCATGGCGAGCACCATCTCCTCGAACGCCAGTAAAGTAAGGCGGCTGCGCGGGGCCCTTGCCGCTGGCAGACCGGCTGCCTGGGTCGCCTCCAGGCTGCTGGGCAGTGAGGTAACCTCGCTGTGCCCGACTCCCTTGTCAGATGTGTGATCCAGCCTGCTGGGCTGGGCACAGGGAGTGAATGAGGTGGGGTGGCGGGGGGCCCCCAGGTCGAGCACAAGGCGGGTGACAGTGTGTCGTCGGAGCGAGAAGCCAGTCCTCCCGCGTGGTTTCGCCCCAGCCCCGGCCCTGCCTTTACTTCCTAGGCCCATGCCCACGAGACTGCTGTTACCACACAGACGGGGCAGTGCGGCCCGTAAAAGGAGGGTCATGCGCACGCCGCAGCTCGCTTTCCCCGTTCAGAGCGCAGGACTGAAGACTAGTAAGCTTAGGGAAACGTGCTTAAAGCAGCGTTTTATGATACATTTGACATAATTCAGCAGGCAAAACTGACTCATAGGTGCTTTTTTGTTACACGCAGAAAGCCAGGCCTGACCGGGGTGCAGCGGGGTGCAGAACAGGCTTGGTAACTGGCCCCTGCAACTAAGAGGAAGGCCGCGTTGGTGACGGACCCAGGGAGGGCGCGGCGGTGCTGGAGTGTTTCTAGGGTCACACTGACGCCCGGCTGTGTGGGGGTCGCAGCCGCACCACCTGGGCGGGACGCCTGGGCGCCTCCTCCCTTCCCTTAAGGAATGCCCAGGGCACCGGACGGATTGCCTTCAAGGGGTTGGGGCCACGTCCTTCAGCCCTTGTGCCAGATTCTGGTCGGCTGAAAAAGGGATCTTTTCATCCCTGGAAAGGGGGAACACACGTCACGAAATGAGATGTCACTGTCATTTAATAGGAGGTTCGTTTTCAGGCAAGTTGCTCAAGGCAGTCGGTAGTTGGTAAGTGACATTAAAGGAGAAAGGCGGTCAGCGCCCGTCAGACCCGAGCCTTCCGAGGCCCTGGTTTCACAGACCTGGTGACTGTGCTGTGCTGATCTCTAAGGGCCGAGAAGCGATGGAGTGGGTGATACACAAGCTGAATGCAGAGCTCGAGGAGCTGACGGCCTCCGCGCGGGGGAGCATCCGGACGCCCATGGCCGCTGCGGCCCTTGTGGAGAAATGAGTCTGCGCGTCGCCTGGCCAGCCCTGCCGGCAGTGTATTTATGTGTTAGTGTAAAAAGACGACCGTGTTTTGGGTAGATGTTTTCTAATAAGCTGAGAACGGCAGTGCGACTGTGACCGACAGGGCAGGTGCCGGGCTCGGGCGGAGGGCCGTCTGACGAGCATCACTTGAAGTGACCCTGTAATCCTGGAGCCCGGCACTGGCGTGGACACCTGCACTGGGCAGAGCTGAAGGCTCACACCAGGCGCTCACCTGCTCCGGACCAGCCCGGCCACGGCACACCCGCCACTGGGCCGCCGAGGGACGCGCTCTGGGACGGTGTTGGTTCCGCACGACCTTCAGCTGCGCAAAGCCCCTTCTGTAAACCACCATTAAAAACCAGTGTTTTTATTTGGTATCTGGACTCCATTTGGGGGTGAAAGTGATCGCCAAAGTAACACGGGGCCGCAGAAGCGCGGTTATTGCACAGGCGCCTTGGGTGGACTTGCTGGGCCCAGTGACCTGGGGCGGGGGTCAGCCCGGTGCGGGGGCCTCCGGCTGCATGTTGGCCGGAGCCTTGCAGGAACCTGTCTGGCTCCGGTCAGACAGGACCACTCCGCCCACGTGTGAGCTGCGTATGTCGAGCCCCAAGCCCTGACCCCGAGCAGGCGCGGCCAGGTTGCAAATGGGGCCACTTTTTGGGTGATGGTGACCACAAAACAGCCGTGTTGCGTGGAGAGCTGCACGGCGTGTAAGACTGCCCCACGTCTTGGTGCGAAGCCTAAATTACCGCAGGCGGCGGGCGGCCTGTCGCAGGCCCCGCACGGGGCGGTCAGCGGGTGAGACCAGGCTACTCCCGTGGCCGCCTGGCCCTTTAGCCAGAGGCGCCGGGGAGGCCGCCGCCGTGGCGATTCCGCCCGGCGCGGCGCCTGACGAGCGCGGCTCCCAGGGA